GATGCAAAGGCGGCGTGAGTGTCCAGGGTGGCTGGACTCTTCTGCGGTGTGTCTGCAGGGAGCGCACGGACCAGGCGCAGAGGGACGTGGCGGTGGGCCCTTGCCATCCCTCGGTCATCCCGCCGTCCTTCCCGAATATCACCCGGCTCTCAGACCTTCAGACACTGTTCCGATCTCCTCCCCTTTTAAAATGCCCACCGGTCCTGCGCTCGGCTCTCTGCTGCTGACCTGCCTCCGACGTGGCTGATGGAACCAGGCGGACATCCCCTCACCGCTCCACCGAAGTGACCAAGCTTCCTCCTCTGCTGACCGGCACTGCCCTGCCCGACTTCCTCCCAGAAGGAGGCTCCTGTTCCTCTTTGGGCCAAACACTTTTTTTTTTGGCTTCTACCTAATTTTGCTGCTTCTGCTGCTATGCTTGTCCCCATGGCTCCCACGATGGTCCCCACTGTCATTGGCCATCAGCTCCTTCCTCCCTGAGGGTTGCCACGTTCTCAGCCACTCGATACGCCTTTCCCTGCTGCCCCTCGCAAAGCCTCGTGAACCACAGCCGGTGTTTGTGTCCGTCTCCGCCACGCCCTGCACGTAACCTCGTCCAGACACCGTTGGCGTCCAGGCGGCCAGATCCCTTCGTCACCGTCCTTTCTTCGTCGAGCCTGGCCTGTTAGCAGCATGTGGCACAGTTCACAGCTCCCATCCGGGGGGCTGTCTTCCCTTCCACGATCATATACTGTTGGGGTCATCCGTGATTCCCCTGGCGTCTTTTCTCACCTCTGCCGGCTAACGTCTTCTCTTAGTTTGGAAATGTTAACGTGCACCCAGACTCTCCTCTGTTCTCCCCTCCAGAACCCTCCGAGGGATCTCGGCGCCCCTGGCGTTGGTGGGGGTCTGTGCTCGCTTGTGGGAGACTTTGCATGGCATCAATTTTGTTAAAATCTGCTCTGCCATCGCCTGCCCCAAGGCAGGATATCTCTGCCTTCTGCATTTCTTTATCTCTGCATTTTGCATTTCTTTATCTCTGCATTTTGCATTTCTTTAAGTAACCATTTACTCAACAAGCCAGTCTTTGCTGACCTTTTTGTTCCTTTGTAGTATTTCCTAGAATTGCTTCCGGCAAGCTTGGTGCTTGGCAAAAGGTGCTTCTTGCCCTATATATTGTGTGAATTACCCCTGAATAAATGAGACTTGATCAGAGCCCTGTTTTGTCTCCATTTCTCGTGTCTCTGGTCCCTCCTCATCCTCACTCCCCCTCTAGAGTCCTCGTTGCTCGACCTGCGGGCCGGGTCACTCGCTGATCCTCACTTTGGCTTCCCCGCTGGGTCCAGTCCCATCTGGTTGATTGCCACAGACTTCCCACTCGTCTCTGCTGCTCTTCAGAAGAGACCCAGCAGCATCTTGTGAAAGCAAGACGCCTGCTACTCTGCAGTCCGGGTATTGCCGGCACCTAGAAGGCCCTAGGCTCCTGGCAGGTGAACTCCTTTCGCTGATTCGAAGCCACTAACCTCACTCTGTCTCAGGGCTTTCTGAACACGGTTCTCCTCTGCGGGGGTGTCCTGGCCCCCGGTCCCAGCGTGGCCGGCTGCTTCTCATCGTCCGGCTCTTAGCTCGGGTGTTGCCCCTTCTGATGCTTCTCTGGTCACCGATCGAATGGCCCGCATACACCTGCCTTTCCTTGTCACATTGCCCGGCTTTACTGTCTTCAAAGCACTGGCCACTTTCCGGAAATAGTTTTCTTAGTTCGTTTCTTTGCGTGCTTGCGTCTCCCTCCTCTAGGGGGAGCACGTGAGCTGAGCACTGTGACCTTGGCCTTGCTCACCCCAGCGTCCCGGTGCTTGGAAGGTCCGCTAGACACAGGGGGGACTGGGGGCGTCATCCAAGGGTGTGAGTTCCTGCTTTACTGAGCTTCTTTTTGTTTCTATTAAACACACGTTGCTCAAAGACTGGGAGGACCTCTATTCTCATCGTTTGAGATTTGGCCAATACATATATGTATGAGCCTTCTGTATTGTTTTCCTGACATTATAGATTTGGATTTTGATTATTTTTCTGCTTTGGTCTTTCCAGCATGAGGAGCCCTTGGGTTTCAGGGGGTTGTGGGTCTCCTTGTCTTTAGAAGGCATGTTTCTGTATCTTTTCTAATCCTACTAGGTTCAGCCATCAGAAATACCCGTAGGATCCCCGCCTCCCCACCCTTTTATTCTTGGTGTGCGCCTTATACTTTGATGATATTTTCGGGTTCTGTGCTGCGTTTCGGCTCACCATCATTCCAGGAAAAATCTTCAGCGACGCTCATGTATTCTTATGAAGAGATGACTAACAGCTCGGATCATTCTTTTCCCCCTGATTCATTTAAAAACTTACTGTGACTTTTATGTCCATTTGCGAATAATTTAATTCTTTCCCCAAAACGTTGGTGTTTGGAAACTTGGAGTACATCTTATCATCTGTAGACGTGTACATTTTGCAGGGTACTTTCTGCTTAATTCATTGTGGAGATTTTCTTTTTAAATTTATTATTTATTTTTTTTCATCCTCATCTGAGGACACTTTTCCATTTTTTATTCAGATAGAGCAGGAGGGAGAGAGAGGAAGAGAGAGAGAGAGAGAGAGAGAGAAACATCGACGTGAAAGGGACACATCGAGTGGCCGCCACCCACACGACCCAACCAGGGCCGGGGACAAACTGCAACCGAGGTACATGCCCTTAGCAGGAACCGAACCCGGGTCTCTCTGGACCACAGGCCGACGCTCTAACTGCTGAGCCAAACCGGCCAGGGCTTTTTAAAAAATTTTATGAGACTAGTTTTCACACCAAATCCTAAGGAATTCTACACACCTACACACCTACACATGACGTTTCTTCATTGAAAGGTGCACTCATTAAAAAAGATTTTTTTCTTTTGGTAGGCAGCAGAGAGAAAGGATGATATTCAGAGATAATGGACTTTTTACTAATAAGAACACTTCCTGATTACTGTGTGCCTCATCTGTGTCAGGCTTTGTATTTGACCCGCCCAAGAATGCTGGAAAGAGAGGTGCTATGATTCCCATTTTACAGATGAAGAATAAGGAACTCCGGGAGGGAGGCCAGTGTGGCCACATTTCTCATGGGTTCGAGGCTTGGGACGGGAATCGGCAACTACAGAGGGTCAGTCAGTAGCGGTGACTGAGCACATGCTTCTGTCCCTTCCTCTCATTCCAATGTCCTAAAATTGACCAAAATTATATACATATATATATATTTCATCCTCACCCAAGGATATTCTTCTACTTGTCTCAGATAGAGTGGGAGGGAGGGAGAGGAAGAAATAACATCGACGTGAGAGGGACACGTCGACTGGAACATCGACGTGAGAGGGACACGTCGACTGGAACATCGACGTGAGAGGGACACGTCGACTGGAACATCGACGTGAGAGGGACACGTCGACTGGAACATCGACGTGAGAGGGACACGTCGACTGGAACATCGACGTGAGAGGGACACGTCGACTGGAACATCGACGTGAGAGGGACACGTCGACTGGAACAATGACGTGAGAGGGACACGTCGACTGGAACATCGACGTGAGAGGGACACGTCGACTGGAACAATGACGTGAGAGGGACACGTCGACTGGAACAATGACGTGAGAGGGACACGTCGATGGGTTGCCTCCCACATGTCCCGACCAGGGTCGGCGAAGAACCACAAGCAAGGTGCCCTTGACTGGAATTGACCCTGTGACTCTCTGGTCCGCGGGCTGATGCTCTAACCGTTGAGCCAAAGTGGCCAGGGCCAAAATTATATTTTTAAAAATTCCGGATCATGCTGGCAACCTAGATCGCAGACCGAAAGCAGTGCCTTGAACGTGCAGGTCGGGGGGACGTGGCAAAGGAAGACATGGTCTCGGATGCTTAGCAAGATGGTGTGGCGGGCGCTCAGGTAGGACCCTGGCCGGGGGCCGGATGCCAGCACCAGGGAGGGGGTGAGGCGGGTGCCAGCTTGGGCAGGTGACTGGGGTGTTTCAGGAGGAGTGGCCACACCTGCTGCCATTGTCCTTGGTGCCAGGCAGTACAACAGTCCCAGACCAGGAGGGACCTGGAGGCGGGGAGAGAGGTAATGTCCAAGAGCATGGCAGCCCCCGGGGGGGACAGGTAGACCCCACTCAGGAGTCACCACCCTCCCGTCCCACCGATGAAGCCAGAGTAGCTCAGCTAACTCTCTTTCCACAGTCCGCGGGGATAACCAGAAGAAACCTCCCCAGACAGGCTACCAGGGATCCCCGAATAAAAACAGGCGGATAGGCAAAACTGAGCAACCATTCGACGGGAACAAACCCCGTCGAACAACAACAACAAGGAAAACACATGCCAAACCCAGCGGATGAGGATTTTCTCTGAGCACCTCCTACGTTTTTCCTTTTCTGTACCTGCCTTTCGGTATTTATCACTTTATACAATCTCCCAGTTTCCTGCCCCGAGCCAGCTGCCTGGCCACATGGATGCATGTTCTCTGCGTTTCCTGCGTGGAGCCCGTGACGGGATGACCCTCGGGCCGCTGACCTTATCTCGCGCTGATACCATCTGAACGCTGACACTGCGGCTCTGGAGAGGCTCACTTCCCCAGACGCTGAGCGAGTTAGAAAGGAGCTTTGAGGAGTTTTCTACTTTGGAAGGCACTCAGAAAAGCCAATTGTTAATTTTTTTAAAATTCCGGCTTGGGCCAGCTACGGCAAGGCAGTCTATTTCAGTACACGTTACTATTTAAGCACATTTCCAAAGGATTTCACACGCGGACTTGTGAAGAATAGCTATTCACAGTGACGAATCTTGTTTTAATTACCACTCAAGAAACGCAGAGTGGTTGACACGACAAACTATTTTCAGGGTTTCCTTTTTGAATTGTGGCAGCTGTCACTTGGAAGGCGGGGAGTGGAGGCCCCCTTCCATCATCCCATGTCCCCTGTCCCTGAAGAATGAACCCGGCTAGTTATTTAAAGATGACATGTGATACTCACACTTTGTAGCCATCAACTTTTCGAATGACTGGGCCCACTGTAGGAGTTCCTCCATGGTAAGGCTTTGAAAAGAAACGAGATGCTCAGTGCACTGACATTCTCAATGTTCTGCTGAAATGAGTACAAATATACCACCTGGAAAATGCCACCCAGCCCTGGCTGGTTTGCCTCCGTAGTTAGTGACAGTCCTTGGACTGGAGGGTTGTGGCTTTGATTCCCAGTCAAGGGCATGCACCTGAGTTGCAGGTTTGATTCCCTGGCCCTGGTTGGGGTTGTGTGAGAGGCAACTAATTGATGTGAGAGAGACACATCGATGTTTTCTCTCTCTCCCCCTCCTTCCCTTTCACTCCATCTAAAAACAAATGGAAAAATATCCCTGGGTGAGGATTAACAAAAAACAAAAAATAGCACCCAAATATAATCACGATGCATTTGCGTGAGGTTTGGGATGAAAGTTTACCTTCCTGTGATCTTTTACATTTTATTTGGACTTCCTAAATGCTTAAAATTATAAAAATGGCAAAAGTATTGTAGACTTGAGCCCTGGTCGGTTTGGCTCAGCGGTTGGAGCGTTGGCCTGTGGTCCAGAGAGACCCAGGTTCAGTTCCCGCTAAGGGCACGTACCTCGGTTGCAGTTTGTCCCCGGCCCTAGTTGGGTCGTGCGGGTGGAAGCCACTCGATGTGTCCCTTTCACTTCAATGTTTCTCTCTCTCTCTCTCCCTCACACTCTATCTGAACAAAAAATGGGAAAATGTCCTTGGGTGAGGATAAAAAAAAAAAAAGTATTATAGACTTGAGAATATAATAAAAAAAAAAAAATCCAAGACAATAAGAGAATTATAGCCCTCTGATCTTGCTCCCAAATTACTACCATCCATACTTCGACTTGTCTTTAGTCTTTTTGTTGTGTGTGTGTTTGTGTTTTTATTTTTTTAATCCTCACCGAAGGATATTTCTCCACTTATCTTCAGATAAAGTGAGAGAGAGAGAGAGAGAGAGAGAGAGAGGCACATCGCTGGGAGAGAGACACATCGATTGGTTGCCTCCCACATGACCCCGACCAGGGCTGGGGACTGAACTGCAACCAAGTAACATGCTTTTGACTGGAGTTGATCCCTCGACTCTTTGGTCGGAGGGCCGACGCTCTAACTGCTGAGCCGAACCAGCCAGGTGGTGTTTGTGTTTTTAAGCAAGAATTATTCATACTTGGTTGTGTGTGTGTGTATCCTCATAATGAACTTTCTATGTCTTCACGATTGTCTTACTAACCACGTATGGTTGTAATTTGCAATCACTGACATTCCCTGCCACCTGTAGTGACTATAGGGTGTTCTACAAGGGACATTCCATAGTCCACATAGTTATTTCCAGGGAGCGTTTTGGCGATTTCACATTTATTGTCATTCAGTCCGATGTGCCCAGCTCTGACTGCGGCTTGCCCTGCCCTCACACTCAGGGTGACCCCTTAGGACATGAGCCGTAGGGTCAGGTGGGTCAAGAGGTGCACGTCTTTAAGGGTCTCGTTACAAGTGGCCAAGTGGCCTTCACGGGGTTATGCACGGTACGCAGCAATGAGTTTGCCCGCCTCTGTACCAGACTCAGTTTACCCACAGATCCTGCCCGCCTGCTTCCGTGGAGTCAGGCTCCCTCTAGGGGATCACTACCTTCTATCACTTGCTATAATTTTTTACATGTAGATGGTTTTATGACTGTGAACAGTGTGTCCAGTTACATTTGACTTTAACAGTATTTTTTTTTCTTTATTGATTTTTAGAGACAGAGGAAAGGAGAGGAAGAGAGAGATAGAAACATGGATGAGAGAGAACATCGATTGGCCGCCTCCTGCACGCCCCCCACTGGGGATGGGCCCACAACCTGAGCATGTGCCCTGACCGGGAATCAAACCGGTGACTTCTTGGTGCAGGGTTGACACTCAACCACTGAGCCACACTCACTGGGCTAAACATTATTTTTTTTAAAAAAGCGTTTACCATGGAGGAAACGTCTGTGGAGGATGCTGACTTTGAGGCTTTACTTCTGCTCATTTTGGGGGGCTTTCGAGGTGACCTGGCAAAGCTGACATATACATCATTTTCTGTTCCCTCTACTAAAATGCTCGCTGTGTTCACTGCCATTCAGTTTCCCACTCAGTCTCACATCTCCCGCATTCAGCAGCTGCACGTACTGACGGGCAGCTGTGGACACCAGCTCCCACTGTCCCCGGCGGACGGCCAGCCCCCGGCCAACGCTGAGGGGACGGCCGTCTGCATTAGCAGCTACCTGACATGACGAGGGAAGATTAGTTGGAGAGGTTAGACAGTAACCTGGAACACAGAAAGCCACTGGGAGTCCCCAAAAGGTCAGATGTGTTTTGTTTTCTAAAAACGTAGCTGGCTCTGGCCAGTCCGGACGGACCGTGTACATCAGCACCGGGGCTTAACAGTGCCCTGCTGTGAGGATCGCTGGAAAAAGAACATTTCCATGAAATAGTATCTGACTTACTGGTCTTTTCTCTGCTTAGAACGCGAGGAACAGTAGCCTAAAACAACCTTGCGATCCGGTGAAATGGGACAGTGCCCAGCAAGGTGGCTAGCTTGTCTCTTCGCCGCCCGGTCCCCTCCTCCAGGACAGGACAAAGCCGGCAGCATGACCAACATGCCATTCCTGTCCTGGGTTGGCTGAAAACTGGTGTTGCTAATGGCTGGACAGAGGATTCTTTTGCCTCTCGGATTCGCGAGCTTTGTGGAGATAGATAACAATTGCAGAAGTGACGGTGGCGGGGGGGGGGGGTTTAAATTGTGAAATGAAATTTCTTTTTAGTTTAGCCTCCTTTTGGCTTGTATTTTTCTTAGTCTCCCACAAGCTTCAGACCGTCCCATGGCTGTCCAGGCGCCCTCATCAGAATAGTGCTGGACACCCTTGCCCCCTCACCCACCACATTTAAAAATGCAAGTTCTCAGCCTGGCTGGTGTGGCTCAGTGGCTGAGCGTCGACCTTGCATCAAGAGGTCGCCAGTTCGATTCCTGGTCAGGGCACATGCCCAGGTTGTGGGCCTGATCCCCAGTGGGGGGCGTGCAGGAGGTGGCCAATCGATGTTCTCTCTCATCGATGTTTCTCTCTCTCTCACCCTCTCCCTTCCTCTCTCTAAAGTCAATAATGAAAAAAAATAGAAGTTCTCTTTTTTTGGTCCCTCCTTCCTTCTAAACAGACAGGCCGTGGACACCAGGGGCACGGGAACGTTCTCAGACATCGTGATGGAAAGAGGAAACAGGCGCTTGGAGCCCTGTCCTGGCCTTCAGGGCCGGTGCAGGACTGAGCGCTCGGGTCCTGTGGAACGCCTCCAAGCCTCGGTCTGATTATCTATCAGGTGGGGCTGATACTATGTATCTCACAAAGGTAGCATCACGCACCTGGCGTTCGGTCATGAGTCCTGGTTGTGCTCCGTGGGCAGAAAGCAATGGGACCTGGGCGGGTACTCTGCAGGGTCCTTGGCAGAGAGGAGGACATTGTCCCCAGTCTGCTCGGCTCATCTTCCTCCGGGACTGGGCCTGTCCGTGCAGCAGGTGCACCGGCCTCACTGCCTCCTCCACCCACACACTTGCGGGCATTTGGGGACATGTTGCTACTTCAGGAGTGGACATAGTGCCAGGAGCTGTGGCCAGGAGAGGTCTCCCCCTGGGCTCGGCGAGACACTCATGGTTCACCTGTCAGGGACCCTCGCCCCGGGACGCTTCTGAGCTGAGCAAACCGAGTCCCACGTGCGTCACCTTCCTCAGGCATCACACGTTCTGCTCTGATATAGTCCCAGTGGCTACAAAGTCCAGCGGGCGGTGGCGCTTGGTAAGCATTTGGTTTCAGACCCAGTCTCGCCTCTTCGCAGGGGGGATGGAGATTTCTGGCTTTCGGCAGGTGGGGGGATTTGAACCACGGAAATATTTCGGATCAAAGACTCTCATTTTAAGATACTATAAAAGTTTTTTTTTTTTAATAAAACAATCTAAGAACACGTCCTCATCATGGACTCTCTGAAATCATCTGACTTGCTGAACTCTCAAGTGTAAACCACGAATAATGGAAACGGAACCAGAGAGCGATACACACTTGCTCTTCTGGGGGAATTACTCAGGCGTGGACCCTTGAGCGTCGACCCTGCACCAAGAGGTCGCCAGTTCGATTCCTGGTCAGGGCACATGCCCAGGTTGTGGGCCCGATCCCCAGTGGGGGGCGTGCAGGAGGCGGCCAATCGATGTTGGAGTGAAGCTAAGTGGGCACAGTGTGCGAGGGTAGCGGGCGACTATGCCGACCCCCGTGTGGCGTGGTGACGTGCTCAGTGATGGCCGTGGAATGGGATCTACTTACTTCGAAAGGGGGTTCTCCGGTGCAGCTCCGCAGATCTTACAGAGCCAGCAAGTCCGCCTGCTCATTTTCCTAGAGAAATACAGTGCACACTTAGTGTGAGTTAGTCATTGAAAAGACGGGGCTGTGAGGGTCCCTTTCAAAGAGCACACAGGATCGTAGAGCTTGAAGGCGATGGGACTCCGTCACTGGTGGGAGCGTGGACGGCAGGAGGATGAAAGGACTCGTCGTGACTGTTTTGTGGGGACCCAGCTGCTCGAAGTCGGGACATTAGGCCCCATCTGGCCCACCTAGTCATCCAAGAATGACATTAAAAGATATGTAACTCTCTGCTACTTTTCATTTAGGGCCCGTGACAACGAATCCGTCAACTCCCAAGGTTTCCCTTTCTGGGTTATTCTTGTTTTTAGAAAGCTCTCTCAGCCCTGGCCGGTTTGGCTCAGCGGTTAGAGCGTCAGCCCGCAGACCAGAGAGACCCGGGTTCGGTTCCTGCTAAGGGCACGTAGCTCGGTTGCAGTTTGTCCCCCGCCCTGGGTGGGCTCATGTGGGTGGCGGCCACTCGATGTGTCTCTCTCATATTGATCTCTCCTCTCTCTCTCTCGCTCTATCTACAGATGAATGCAAAAGTGTCCTCGGGTGAGGATAAAAAAAAATTAAAGAACAAAAACAAGATCTCAGTATATTGAACAAGAATTTGCCTCTTTGTAGTTAGCCCAATACAATTGTATGTACAGCCAAATCAAAAATAAGCCTCCTAAGGGCGACATCTAAGAGGGTGACACTTGCCCAGTTGTCCCCGTTCTGGGTGGAGTAACCTTGATGCAAAAACTCGGGGGACACCGCTCAGCCCAGGCCCTTAGGTAACAACATCCATCACTGTCCCCTCAGGACCTTGAGAAAGCAACTGCACGTTTGTTAAGAAGAATTGTATCCACACTTTATAACGAGAGCTGGAAATATTTTGCTAAACATGTATTCACACTTATAGACAACGTGTCAACAGGGATAGACAGTGCACTTTTCTATCCGTCTTTCCTGATGTATTTGAAACATCTGTTCGTCATGTGCTACGTGGCAAGTTCTGGCTGCCAGCGATCTCCACGGAGCCTGTCCCCCTCTTCCCGTTTTCAGTGACAAGCAGTCATAATTCATGTGATGGGGACTTCGCTACAGGAAGTAGAGGGGCTGGTGAGTACGCACAGGAAGGGCCCCTGACCGGATGTGGGGAGCTTAGAGGAGGCACCCCAGGAAAGTAACAGCTGACCCAGAACCTACAGGACGTACTGAGCGAAGGGGAGAGGGCGGGTTGGGCAAAGCTCCGGAGGCAGTAGGTTATGTCCTAGAGGGGGAAATGGTCAAATGGAGTCACAGCGTGGATCTGGAGCAGCAGTTCTCAACCTGTGGGTTGCGACCCCTTTGGGGCTCAAATGACCCTTTCATGGGGGTCGCCTAAGACATCACAGTAGCAAAATTACAGTTATGAAGGAGCAACGAAAATGATTGTATGGTTGGGGGTCCCCACAACAGGAGGACCTGTGTTAAAGGGTCGCGGCATCAGGAAGGTTGAGAACCCCGGTCTCGAGTATGGCAGAGAGAAGAGTCAGAGAGAAGCTGGAGTTAAGATCGGACAACAGTCATGTTCAACCGGTTCGCCGAGGCAAGGACGTGGCGAGAGACAGTTGTAGGGACAGGCAGAGGCGTGTTAGGTCTCACACACCGTCCACTTCAGGGTCAGGAGCTGGGAATTCATTGAAGGTTTGAAAATGCGGAATAGACATGTCAACCTTGGAAACTGGGTTTGGGAGTAGAATGGATTGTGCTGTGTCAAGGATGGAGTTGGGGGGACCAGTTTGGAGGCAATCCAGGGGTCCAGGGGAAGGATGTTACAGGCTTAGATTGGAAAGGTGGCTGTGGATTCCTCCCCCCACCCCAGTCTTTTGCTCTGCCTCTCTGTCTGTCTGTCTGTCTGTCTGATGAACGCTGTGGACAGAATGGTACAGCCGAGATGGAGAGACTGTGCCCTTTGACCGTCCTGGCCTGTGCACCGTCCTTCATGTCCATAAAGTCGACACTTGGCACACACACGGAGGTTGGCTGTGGGCAGAGATTGAAGACCCAGGAGAAAGAGTAAAACTCATAGAAGTTCAGGTTCCTGAGAAATAAAGAGGTGCTGGGGTTCAGAATGTGGGGGCCAGGACACTGGCCAAGTGGAAGCGTGGGAAAGTACGGTTTCCTTGTACCTGGAGGGGTGGGGTGTAGGTGCAGATCCCGTGTGTTTGTAGGTTGGTGGGTAAGGACGTAGGGACATTGTGGTCGGATGGACAGCTTTCTGTATGGGTCTCTGTGGTAAGGAGGACATCAAATCAGGGCTCTGTTGATTGTAAAGATAGATCCAAACTAGTTTAAGCATAACTAGGGACAGTTTCTCGCACGGATAGGTTTGTGTGTGCAGTTGGGCTCTGGATGGCCGTAATGGGGCCCCGTTCTGTGGGCAGTTCACTGAGGTCTTTAAATAATAATGTGATGTAGAGAAGAGCCTGTCCCAGAAAGATACAGCTGACTGAAGACGATTCACGGTGAAGTACCCGGGACCCAGAGAACTGTTGCGGTGACAGGCTGTCCACACTGATCGTGTGTGGAACTGGACCCTCCGCTAGGTTCGCGCCGTCCAAGTTTCAAGGCTCCTCATCTCTGTGATCACCTCTGAGATGCAGATCACCCAACGGCTCTCTGCTTATCTTCTCAGTGGGAGGATGGCCGGAAACTTCCGCTTTTCATGTCTTTTCTGACAGTGTGGCTACTCATCCCTGTCTCCTCCTGGGCCGAGACTTCTCCCCTCCCCCACCTCCTACCTGTGACAACGGCTTTCATGTGTCACTGTCTCCTGATCTACTGGAGCTCTGTGTGCACATTGGTAATTCCTGGAGCTGAAATTCATGTCTGTTTATAAGTTGCCATCTTTTCTTTAAAAAAAAAAATTTTTTTTTTATTGATTTGAGGGAGAGAGAGATAGAAATGTTGATGAGAGAGAACATCGATTGGCCGCCTCCTACATGCCCCCCACTGGAGATCGGGCCCACAACCTAGGCATGTGCCCTGACCAGGAATCGAACCGGCGACTTCTTGGTGCAGGGTCGATGCTCAACCACTGAGCCACACTGGCTGGGCTATTCTTTTATGACTTTAATGGAATTGTTCAGCATAATCATCTTAGTATGCAGCACACATTGGGGTCAGAGGCACAGCAAAGGTAAGACAGTTTCCAGATGCACCCCCCCAAATGTCGGGGTCCCCATAGCTGCTGAGAGGTGACAATTCGGGGCTCTCAAGCCAAACGGACATAAGTGCCCGAGTTCAGGCTCTTAGCGTTGCCTTCTCCAGCAGAGAAATGAAAACCCTCTGACTCTCAATTTCCCTTTCTCTCCAGTGGTACTGTCAAGATTGGAAAGGTACAAGCAAAAACTCCCTGTTCCAGTGAATTCGGTGTTCGTTCAGCCTCCTGCACTCTGTCCCTCAGCAAATATTTCCTAAGCTTTTCTTTCTCCTTTTTGTATGTGTAGGAAACACACATTGTCAGCCCGTGTCCCTTCCTCTTTTTAGATTTCCGCTCAGACCTCCTACGCTTTCCCGCTGAAGCTTATTTATTCGTCAGCCTGTGACCCTCCGGCCCAATGGTCATTTTTCTTTGTCACTGTGTTCCTATATTCCTGTTGCTCACCTGCTACGTTAGTCGCTGCCGTTCGAGCTGTAGAAGGAGCTGAGTCTGCTCCAGGGGTTCAGACACTCGGGGTGCCTGTGTCAGATGGAGGGGATGGAGCCACCAGGGAGGGAGGACTTGTTTGGTCAGAAAAACTTGGGAAAGGGATGAGAGGACAGTCCGGCCGGAGCTTCCCCGCAGGGACAATTATGCAGGTTGTCCCCTCTATAGAGACACCTGTCCTGGAGGGGGGAAGAGGCTTGGATCAGACACCCCTCTCGCCAGGCTCGGGGCCCAGGTGGGGCTTCATCCACAGGGAGCGGCTACCTTAGGACGGTCCAGCGAAGGCTGGGTGTGGACCAGCAGCGGCCCTGTGCTCGGGCGGGTGTCACAGGGAACCGGGTGTAACACATGTAAACACATATAACATCCAGTCGTCATGTTATTTATACTTCTGACTCTCCTACTCCTACTAGACTGTAAATTCCCTGAAGTGTGACATTCAAACGCTACCGGATAACCATGCATAAGTAGGTTTTTCTGGATTGTCTAGCCTTCCAAGTGACATGTTCACAGATTTATTAAATGATGAAATACCAATAGAATATAGTCACTGAGGAGCATCCACAACTCAATTTAAAAATCAGTGACAGGCCCTGGCCCGTGTGGTTGGAGCGTTGGCCCACAGACCGGGTTCGGTTCCTGCTAAGGGCAAGGACCTCGGGTGCAGTTCGTCCCCAGCCCCAGTTGGCAGCCAATCAGTGTGTCTCTTTCACGTCGATGTTTCTCTCTCTCTCTTCCTCCCTCTCTCCCTCCTCCTCTATCTGAAGATGAATGCAAAAAGTGTCCTCGGGTGAGGATTAAAAAAAAAAAAATCAGTGACAGGATTATATACGAGATGTATTATGCCTTGAATAAATAGACCACAAAGCAGTCTTGTTTTATGAAATTCTCTGGTTTCTTAGTCAATTAAGAAGTGGACCCTGCCCTGGCCGGTTTGGCTCAGCGGGTTGGAGCATCGGCCTGCGGTCCAGAGAGACCCGGGTTTGGTTCCCACTAAGGGCATGTACCTCAGTTGCAGTTTGTCCCCAGCCCTGGATGGATCGTGTGGGTGGCAACCACTCGATGTGTCCCTTTCATGTCGATGTTTCTCTCTCTCTCTCTCTCTCTCTGTCTGAACAAAAAATGGAAAAATGTCCTCGGGTGAGGATAAAAAAAAGAGAAGTGGACCCTGTTTGGCGCCGACCCAGGGACTGGAGTTCTGCCCTGTGTAGCATCAGGCATCCAGCCCCCCGCTGGCCACCTGTGAGCATTTCCGGGCCTCGTGTCCACTCTCACTGATGCTCTGCTACTTTGCTGGGACATCACAGGACCTGCCCCATGTTCTTCTAATGTCATCTACAGAGACACCTTCACAAAGATTCTGGCAATAAAACACATCGAACCCCCGACTTTATCGCCTCTTCCAACCAAAACACTGCTAATGTGTAGTAAAGGAATATAGAAAGTGTAAACATGAAGAGAAAAGGGGATTCAATAAGGATACAGGCAATGCACTATTTCAAACTAATTCTGACAAAAACGAAGAAAATACAGTTCGCAGTCTGAGGACAAAGAGTTTCCAAAGTGCCTGGTGGTTTGAAACGAAAGGTCTGCAACCCTGCGTCCAACAGTACTGCTCACGGAGTGGTATGTCTCTTTAACAAGACCAACGTGCCGAGGGCAGGGTGAAATACTTCCAACACTGACCGCTGAGAACTTTGCAGAAATATTTTTGGCAATTCCAAAAAGGGTACGTTCTAAATTCTTTAAAATAGTTTTTTGGGACTAACATTTGATTAAAATATTCCATTAACAAACTCAAATGTATTTGGTGTATAGTCAGACCCAATGAAGACTATCTTCAGTTAAATGATACCCTTGGAATTAGAGCCTCCATGGTCATTTACGAATAAAAATACAAATTAGCCTCAAATGTTAATAGAACTGCAATTCTGTTTGGCCAAAAAGAGTTCCCTGGGAAAGGATGACCTGAGCTGATATGATATAGAATTGATTTAAATTGAGAAACTCACCAAGCTTCAAATCAACAGTAATCATTTTGTTCTCATGTTGGTGGTATGATATGTGGAAAAATGCCATTGACCTAAAAATAAAATAGTAACAAAAACAAGAAGATTATCGTGTGCTTCCTGGAGAATGCATATTTGGCGGAGATGTCTATAAATACTCTGCCTTCTTAAGTAAATAGCTTATTCACTTTGTAAGTATTGGATGATGGTCATCCCTAGAATTTTATTAATTGTAGGAGTTGATATTACAAACATTGCTATACTTCTGATTTGTATTTTCCATTGCTTATTCTTTAAATAATTGTTAATTAATGTTAACATCGTGTATTAATTTGCCTATCTTTTAAAAAATTTTTCAATATTCTCTTGCTAAAACTGGAGTGCACTTTTACAACCTAAATGTACTTAGAACCAGGTTAGGTCTCTAGAGTAATTTATGTCTCAGTGTTTTCTCTGGTTATTTTAAAGAAAGCGTGCATTTCATCTATAGAATCTAATTCTCAGTGAGGGTATAAATGCATTCATGATGAATTAAGTTGAATATGTTCCATGCCAGAAATAGATTCAAGTTTCCTCTAGCATTTAAATGACTCTCTCTCAAAGTGATATGAAAATATAAATGAATTTTCCTAAATTGAGCCTTTCACATATTTAATATTTTTTTTTTACCATCCTGATAGGCTATTGATTAATCCTTTCTGTTTATATATAGTATTTGTATTTAAGTGTGTTTCTTTGTATTATGATGTAACAATCACAAAAAATTTAGAAAAACCTAGAGCAATTTACATTTTTATGAGGTTTTGTTTGCCATAGCACACAAAATTCTTGCCTAATTTTCAAAAGCAAGTAATTTGTGTATAGTTGTGCTTAGGCATAACATTAAGGAATAAAGAGATCTGGTAAAATCAAGATTAGCAATGCTTCATGTAAACCTTCCAACCTGGGATCAGCACAGCTAATTAAATGATGGAACTAATTATTTAGGAAATGCATGATTTTCTAAACAAACAAGTCTGAAATATCTGACTTTCTCTAAAGACCACACAGAGCCCCATAAAAGGAAAGAACATACACACTATACCCTAAAACCATAACATTCCTTTACTGCCAAATTTACAAGCTTCCTTTACACATGCGGGATGTAAGGTATTTCTGCTTGTTTGTCATTTGCGGATAGAAAGCCCAGGCCAGACCAACATGTGTTTCCTATACTGTTTTCCTTGCATGAAACCTGCGGACATGTCTCGCAGCCCTGCCATCGAAATGAAAATCCACTCGTCACTCACACCAAGCTGATATTATTGTCCCCATCAGCCACACTAGGCAACCTCATACTTACAAACATATCTTCTAGAGCAGTCCACCGTGCTAAATTTTATTTCCTCTTTGTCCGATCTTTTGGAAATCGGGTTCTGACGTGTCAGGAGACACCCGGCATTTTATTTTCCCTGCTGGGGGAACTCGCCTGCCTTGGTGACTCCCTTGGATGGTGCTCGGGCCTCTGGGAGAATGTCCTGTTTTTATACACGTATCTATGCAAAGAGAGGTTTTGTTGAATATGGAAAGTAGTGTGTGGCTGATAAAGAAGCTGTAGCTGACAGTATCAGCCCATGGTCGGCAGCAGCAGCTCCAGGAAATCTTCAATGTAATAGTCACCCCAGCCCAAATAATTCATTGTTCTAGTTTTGGAAAATGTATAGCTTAAAGGAAGATCTCCCTTTTAAAACAGAGAACTGAACACCAATCAGGAGGCTACCAGTGCAAACACTTTCTGTGAAATTTCTGAGAATTGTTCAAACCAGTCAGTTTACCGCGGCCCGGTAACAGCGGAAAGATCTCAAGGGACCTCTTTTCTCGTCAAACCTTTCTAGCTGCTTCCACCGGTCCTCACGGGGCCGTTTCTGAACTCTCTGTTCTTCTCTGTTTTCTTAACATACCTGCTAATATCTGGACTGAGCACAGTGTGCCAGACGGGGACTAATGGATGCAGAATATGAAGAGGTTGTTAACGTCCTTGTCCTGTGTCTAATCCGTGAGTGTGTGTGTGTGTGTGTGTGTGTGTAGCAGTGGTGGGGGTTGAGAATGCTGGAATGAAACAGCAGGAAAGAAGATGAGAATGTAGTTGATGGGGTGTTTCTGAAGGCATTCAGGAGCCTGATGAGGCAGGCGATGAACTTCAGTTGTATTTCAGGCTTTGAGACCCATCAGTGTGGGGCTAGAAAAGACCGACCAGGTCCGTGACGTCTGAGACGTGTTCGACGGCGCGGGAAGTGAGGGGGGACCGCTGGATCCGTCGGGAGGGTCAGGCTGTTTGCTGACGCACTCGCGTTCGAGGGTTTCTAGTTGTCCGCTTCCTCCCTGTCTCTGGACTCTGGGTGCCTCTCAAGCACGCAGAAGATTCTGGAAGCATTGCCCTGCTGCAAGGCTGTTTCAGAGGCTGATTCACAGAATAAAACACGAGCGTCCTCCTGTGGAGGGAACGGTGGGTATCAACGTGGGCTGAGCAACAAGCAAGCCGTGGGTGGAGAGTAAGAGCGGGTAGGAGAAGGGGTCCTGGAACAGTTCCGGAAGCAGGGGTAGCTGGTGTGGCCAATACCTAAGCATGTGTCGTGTCCCTGGAAATGGGCCGGCCAAGTACAGGTCATGGGGTCAGAGCAATGTCATCCTCAGTACGTGGAGGGTTGGACCGAGTCAGAGATGTCGGTCCGGGAGGTCCCAGGACCATGGAGGGCCCATGGGTGCGGGTTCCGAGGGCCCTTCCCGAGTGTGCGGTCCGCTGGGATCTGCTTGCGCTCACTCGGTTCCTGCCACCGCCGATCTAAGTCCGCAGTGACATTGTTTAAATGTGCAGTTAAAGAACATCAACACACTGCCCTGGCCGGTTGGGCTCAGCGGTTAGAGCATTGGCCCGTGGACCAGAGAGTCCCGGGTTCGGTTCCCACTAAAGGCATGTACCTCGGTTGCAGTTTGTCCCCAGCCCCAGTTGAGGTTGTGCGAGTGGCAGCCACTCGATGAGTCTCTCTCACGTTGATGTTTCTCTCTCTCTCTTCCTCCCTCTCTCCCTCCTTCTCTATCTGAAGATGAATGCAAAAATGTCCTAGGGTGAGGATAAAAAAGAGAAAGAAAAAGAAATAAGCCTACTGCTTACAGTGCATCTATTTATTTCATATAGTGGTTGCCTTTGTTCATAGTACTCAATATTTTATTTTTATGTGTAAATGTGTAAAAACTAACTTTAACTAAACTGAACACTGAGCGGTTATATAATAAATGATGAAAACATTTACTATAGTGTTTAACACATATCGTATAAAAATGCTAGGTTCTGCTTAGTAATCTAAGAAGACAAAATGAAAAGCAAGATAAGACAGATTAAACAAATATTTTAGCTGTACATTGCTTCACTAAAGGATTTAAAAATATTTCATTCAAGTCTTTATTTACAAAGATGTAGAGGTTTCCATGAAAGTTAAGAAATGATGGAGCTGTGTTATGTGTAGGTAGTACTCGGTCAAACTGCCAACATGACTAGTTTTCTCAACAGTTGACTCTCAGTAATATCACCAAGCAAGATACACAACCATTCTCCTTTTTTTTTTTTTTTTTTTTATCCTCACCCGAGGACATTTTTCCATTTTTTGTTCAGGTAGAGTGGGAGGGAGAGAGAGGAACAGAAAGAGAGAGAGAGAAACATCGATGTGAAAGGAACACATCGAGTGGCTGCCACCCACACAACTGACCAGGGCCGGGGACAAACTGCAACGGAGGTACGCGCCCTTAGCGGGAACCGAACCCGGGTCTCTCAGGACCGCAGGCCAATGCTCCAACCGCTGAGCCAAACCGGCCAGGGCCCATTCTCCTTCTTAACCTTTCCCCTTGGTCCCTTCTGCCTGCACTGACTTCCCCTGGTGCATTTCTGCAGAGCACCCCCTGCGCTTCTGAACACACTCAATGCCCACATCGTCGAGTGTGGCCTCACCTTCTGCAGCCTGCAGACTCGCCTCACTGCCTGGTCTTGTTCTCTCTGGCTGGCTGCCGACTGGAAACAGTCTAACTTTGGCTGCTGCCTGGCCACGAGGCAGAAACATAGTAACAACATCAATTAGAACACCCGGCACTGTTGCCAGCACAGAATGCACTTACATAGCAATTACAATTAGATACCAATTTTGTCTGTGTTTATTCAAATGACTGACTCTAAAGATACCTTATTACAATCATGGTTCTACCCGTCTATACATTTCCCTGCTAACTTTCAATCATGATGGTTTCTACTTGGCGGCTGCTCTAAATCCATCCTTTTGGCCTTTCAAGGAGACCAGTAATGTTCTCAAGTTTCTCATCTCCAGTTTGTAGCTGAAAAGAACACCAGGCCTACTTGGTTTCCATGTTCTCTTGAGCACTTACAGGTCTCAGTCTGTCCTTACCAATTAGGATGCAGATCAGTTAGTATCATATTGTTCTCCCCCAGGATATTTAAGGCAACATGAGCGGCTATGAAAGCAATGTTCTTTTCCTGGAAAAAGAAGGACACAGCTCACAGTGGTTTAATTTGGAATGGCAAATGTCTATTAGCTTTTTGTTAATCAGCTTAACAATAACCCACAACCTTCGGACCAACTCTATTAGCTTTTTGTATGCTCGTGGTGTTTTTCTGTGGGGCCATCTGAGAACAGGGCTGAGGGTACCTTCTCTCGTTGGAGAACAATTCCACTGGCTTTGTCACTTAGGCACTTCCGACCCAGGACTTCTTTGTTATTTTCTTGGTGTGGTGGGTCCCTGGACCACACAGGCAGGGTACATTTAAATTATAAACTCAGGAGAGCACACACCTGGTATTATGCTGAATCAAACATGTTTCTTTGTCATCGGTTTTTTGCAAGTAACTAGTTTTTCTTGTTTGTTCTTTCACCAAAGATGTAGCACCTTGAGGAGCCTTGGCCCTTCTTCCTACCGGGGACAGCCTGAGATATCGTTTGCTGTCTTGCAAAGGACACTTAAAAGCCAGCCCTCCGATGACTGTGAGCACACTCTGAGCTCTGCGACATGTTAAATGCTAGTTTACCACTCAGATTTAGCCTCTCTGTTTCTCCTTGGGAATTGCCCTTCCTTTTTGCAAAGTTAACCATGCAATTAAATGGGGGTGGAGTGGGAGGCGGGAATTATATATTTTTCTAATAATTTGAGGTGTCTGACAGATCTTTCAAGAGATGTCTTATCTACCATACTCCATATTTTCTCTTATGTGACGTGATGTGATATATTTATTTTTTTTAAATAAAACCAATTGCAATGAAATATCAAGGAAACTAGAACCGGAGAATTCCCTTGTTGTCACAGATGGAAAGCACCAGTGTTTGCCTCTCCGAGTGAGGAATGCCTCGGACACGGCGGGCCCACCGGTGTGTGGCTGCACAGCTAAGGCCGGTCTGGTTCCCTGTGGTCTAAGCGATTCCCTGCCCTGTTCTTTATGTGCACCTGTCACTCTCTGCAGGGCCTGTGACTTTTCTGCTACCGAAGAAGGGCTGAACAAACACACCTGTGCCATATTTCCTATGTGATCATTTTTATTTATTTGTTTAAAAATTTTTTTTCTTTATTGATTTTAGAGAAAGAGGAAGGGAGAGGGAGAGAGAGATAGAAACATTGATGAGAGACAATATCGATTGGCCGCCTCCTGCATGTCCCCCACTGGGGATCAGGCTCACAACCTGGGCATGTGTCCTGACCGGGAATAGAACTGGTGACCTCTTGGTGCAGGTTGATGCTCAACCACTGAGCCACACCGGCTGGATCCATTTTTATTTTTAAGTCACAGGGATGAAGCTCTGGCCAGTTTGGCTCAGTAGTTAGAGCGTCAGCCGTGGACTACAGAGTCCCGGGTTCAGTTCCCACTAAAGGCATGTACCTCGGTTGCAGTTTGTCTCCAGCCCTGGTTGGGGTCCTGGGGATGGCAACCACTCAATGTGTCTCCCTCACATCGATGTTTCACTCTCTCTTCCTCCCTCTCTCCCTCCTGCTCTATCTGAAGATAAATGCAAAATATGTCCTTGGGTGAGGATTAAAAAAAAGTCACAGGGATGAGAATGTCTTCTGTAGATCACTATTTAAAAACTTGTTGACAGTCTTGAAATAAGTCTGTGCCCAGGGCAATGATGAATGGTGATATGTAGCCCCCTCCCTCCTGTTCATGGTCAGTGTTGTGTCCAGGGACCCAGGGACCCAGCTGGCTTGGCAGTAACTCAGAGGCAAGGGCAAGTTAAGAAGAAGTAGGTCCTGCCATCCGCTGACAGGTGGTAGAGAATTTAGGATTAGCCTGTGTGGCTTTTCCTCCTTTACCAAAGGAATCTCCGGCTTTTCTCATACATGTTTCAACTGCATATGCGAACATAGCATTGAGACAGGCATAATAGATGCTCAATAAATATTTGAACAGTATGTACATGTATTCCACTTCTAAGGAGATTCATCCATGATAAAAACTACCCCGATGTCCCTTTAA